GATCAATTGTTCACAGACAGGCTCTTGCCTGCTGTGCAATCACCTGTTGCTGATGAATGACAAACACTTGAATCCCCCTCCCAGGGGCTTAGAAAGTTCCTTTCCAACTGGAATTTAAATCAAAGAACAAAGTCAACCTTCCCACCTGCTGGCCAAACAGAGGGCCTAGCAATGTACATACTTCATAAGTTATTAAACAGACCTCTGGGGCAAGCGTGGTGGGCAGAGTGAGGCTGTCTGCATCCGCAGAGATGCTCTCCTATGAGCCCCAGGGAGGCAGGGGCAGGCTGACCTTTCCTGTGGCTGCTGCAGTGCTGTGAAATGACTGTCTGTGAGTCAGAAGGCAGGTAGGTGGCACAGCTAAATATAACGATGGGCAGGCTGTCCAGCACATTAGCTTTGTTCCTTTGGAGCTAAAGCAGACAACCCACAGAATACAAAACAAAAGCAACGCACAATGGCCAGCACAGCTCAAAACTAATCATAGGCCAGGATTAAAATCTAACATATAGACTGCCAATTTCAGCTCATATATTTGGGGGGAGGGGAGGAGTAGGCAATGGAAAATGAACATTTGTCCAAAGTTACCAGTGAACCACTCAAGGCCTAGATGGGCAGATCAGATTATGAAGAGGCTGAAGGCATAGAGTCTCACATCCCTGGATGTCTTCTATAAGGGGCTCGGTGGGCAGAGAAGAGATGGTACCAAGAAAGGTTAAAGCTGGCTGGGGAGAGGGCAGCAGCCTACCCTGGTTGTTTAAAAAGAAGGCAGAGAAAGGCTCAACAAGAATGAAAGAAGCTGGGGGTGCCATGGGGATCCAGCTGGGGAATGGGCACCTAGGAACCAAAGCTCAGCCACCCGAAATCCCCACAGGACCAGGAACTGCATATAGGATGTATCTGGTCCCTGAAGGCAGATGGCAGATGAGAGAGGCATTTTGGGACAAGGTAGATCTTGGGACAAGGTAGAAAGCTTCTCATGGAGCCCTGGGTGAATCTCTGCTTCTGCTGACAGCAGGACTCTCCAAGTGAAACCAAGGAGTAGCTAGCTGCCCTGAGGCTGAGGAGACAAGTGCTGAGTGAGGAAGCTGTAGGCAGGCAGGAACAGAGACAAAGATCCTGGACTTTCTTTTATGATCTGGACAGTAGGATGAGAAAGACCCAGGGTGCATTCAGGCAGATTCTCAGGGAACTCATGTTGGCACACGGGTGTGCTGAGGTGAGGGCAGGACAGGTGTGATCTCCTGTCCTGGACATAAGTGAGGACCCTGAGGGAACAGGCAGGAAGTAACTGAATTGTATGCCTGGTGAGTGTGCCAGGCGCTGATAAGTATTCTATCTGTCCTAAAGCTCTCTAACCGGAGGGGAAAAAAAGCTTCAACAAAATCTCAGGCTTTCTTTAAAAACAAAAAAGAACCCAAACGTACGTATGTTTATGGAAAAACTCAGGCATCTAGGAATTGCAAAGACAGAAAGAAAGAGCTCTGCGTTAAGACTGCAGGCACATTGCCTGCAGCTTCTGGGTGCTTCAGGATGAGTCACTGTTCTTTAAAAAAGAAGACAGAACTCTAAAAATCCATGTCTAGTCTCAAAAGAGAACAGCAGAGCAGGGCAGAGATGTCGAACAACTATTCAGATTTCAGTGGACAGCATCAGGGGAGCGGGCGGGTCATGAAAGAGAATACAGCTGATTGCAGAACAATGGCCCACAAATAAAAGCAATCCCCGGCCACAGTTTCCTCAGCCACAGTGATAACCATAGCTTCAACTGTCAGTCAACTGTGAAGCAATACACAGTGAAATGTGATTTGTGTATAGCCCTGGACTCTGAAAACCTATTCTGATGCCACTACCCAGAGCAGCCTGCCCCCAGTCTGTTCTTCAGAAAGATGGCAAGAGAAAATGTGCTTGCCCATGGGAAGCAGGGCTGGTTCTCATCTGAGTTTAGGCAGCCACTGGTGCCTCTGCTGAACCCCATGTGCAAACATAGGTCTGTACAGTAGCAGCGCACAGGAAAAAGAGGAAGAGCAAGACCGCCAGTGGCCATCTCCCCTACAGCTCTGCACTAGTGCCCTCCAAGCAGGCTCTCCAGAGGATTGTGCATGGCTCACCCCAGGACAACTGCAAATTACCTTCCTTCCGTAGTCCCTGTTCTAGTATCAAGGAAATCATCACTCTTCCCATTGACATCTTATTCTACAAAGAAGTGATTTAGCAGCAGCTTGAAAACCAGCCTGAAACTAACCTATCCCTTCTGTCCCTGTGCAAAGATGGTCACTTACTCATCCATACTGGCAGCTCCTGTACTCAAAGCTGCAACTGTAGGGCAATCTGGGAACTCCAAAGCACTCTGCATTCAGGCGGACAGTGGGGGAACCTCCAGACATGGGAACAAGGCAGAAGGCCTCAGGCCTGCTGTGACTGCTGTGTATACCCAGTGGAAGGAAAGCGCTGTCCATGGAGGACAGGGACTGTGCCACTTGAAGTCCACTGCCACTGTAGAAGTTATTTTTATTTTCCTAAGCACATTGCAGAGTTTCTGAATGAACGAGCATGCTGCCTTCTCTGTGGAAATCAAGGGTGAGTGTTGGCTCATTTTCTTAGCCAACTGCTTCTGCTGCTTTGGTTTTCTTAGACATATTTTATGATAACCAGATGGGTGTTTTTGGCATCCATGGATTTTATGAATACACGAGAAAGCCTCTTTGAAAAATATTCTACCTGCAACAGCCTACACTGACAGACTCCCGCCAGAGACCCATTGCCTTCTTTTACCTTTGCAAGTGTATTTTATTTTAGTTACATTTTGTTCAAGTTTATTTTTAGGTTCCTGCTACAAAAAAATTGTGTATTTAGCCTTATTTATCTCTCTCACTTCTTTTTCTTTCTGGAAGCATAAAAAAGTGAACACATACCCTGTCAGTGGGGTTGGTTGCTGAGCCATTTGGGGGTCTTTACCATAGGTTTGGTGGAGACTTGGTAAACAGTTTGGACCCCCTGGGGTGCTATCAAGCAGCCTGGGCTGGTGACCTTGGTATGTTTTTTTGACTCAGTATGGCTGGTGGTTCTGAGTTCTCGTTTTAGCTGCGTGTCGATGGGTTGTGTAACATTGAAGAAGTCACTCTCCTGGTTGGAAACGCTGTCTCTCTCACATGTAGAATCAGTATGGTAATGCCCACTTTGCAGGGAGTGAGGAATGAGTTAGATGCCTCCATGCACTTGTACCCACTGCCAGACCAAGACCACTGAGATCCAGGATCAGGTTTGCCAGGGTTCAACAGAGAGAAGGGGTTGGTTCTGGGTACAAGAGGAACTGGCTCATATCCTTGTGGGGGACAGAAAGTCCTACAACAGGTTGTCTATAGGTTGGAGACTCTGGGAGCAGTCTGAGGCTGATGGGCTGAAAACCTTGGACTGAGGACACTGGGATAAATTCAGCAAAAGGTTCGAGACTCTGGAGATGTGAGGTCAAGGGTGGGTGGAGTTGTGAAAGCAAGGGTGGGAGAAATGCTGGAGAGTGTCTCCAGGGACACTTCTGTGCTACCTGTGAGTTAGGTGATTGGATAATGTTGAGAGCTGTGTGTCCCAGCTCAAAGGCCAGCTCCTCTGCAGCCACGCACACACCTTGTCAGTTCTTAGATATATGCTCCTGTGGCCACTGTGGCCGCATTCTCTCCAGTGCTAGTGCCTGCTTTTAGCTGTCATTTCCCAGTTGTCATGATTGTGATGTTGTAGTTGAATTGCAGAGAAGTGTTATTTTAGCATGCAGAATCACATCCTGAAATTGCCCACTGCGTTTCTCCTAATGGAAAGATTGAACACTATAAACGGTAGCTGTGAAGTTCTTGTGACAAGCACATGTCTATTCATGGCTCAAACCATTCTTCCATGCCCTCCATCTTAATAGCACCGGCAAACTCCTTGGTCCTAGTAGGCTGCCTTCATCCATCTGTGACTTTTTCCTCCTGTCTTCCTATTAATTGCCTGACAAATCTGTTTTGCATTCTGTTTGGGATTGCCTGTGTTGGCATAAAGACAGGTAGGACAATCACATATCATTTCTGTCCTTCCCCACCTCCCAAGCTGAAGAGAGCTCCTTCTAAGTGTGTCCTGTGACAGCTTGTCCCAGTTCATCTCTTTTGCTTCTGCAGCTGCCCTGTCCTGTGTTCAGCTGCTCTTCCCCAAGCTTCTGCCCGAACGGAACTGGAAACAACCGGCCCATGTATGAGGCTACCTGTCTTTTCTACCTTCCACTGGCTTAGAAAGCACAACCCTTCAGCCCTAGGCAAGTTTTGTGTGTGTGTGTATGTGTGTGTGTGTGCATATACACACACACACAAAGTACCCATGTTCCAGAGTTTTTCAGCTCCAAGGCATTGCAGATGCATATTTTCCCTCTTTCCTGGTACCCACTGTTCCTTGATTTGGTTCCTCATGTTCAGCCCTGGATAATACATAGCAGACACAGTTCTCAGGCCATAGAAGGTTCTGGGAGTCAGAGGGAAGGGTTGCTTTCACTTAGTGTACCCGGGGGGAGGCACTGTGGAAGGGACACAGGCTTGTGGATGTTGGGGCATCTGTGATGGTTGTCACCAAGGTGAAAAGCTGGACATGGCAAGCAATGCATTTTGGTAGAGTCTTCTATTCCCCTTGCAGTGGCCAGTCTGACTGGAAGCTGGTCTCCGGTGTCCAGGGGAGCTGCTTTGACTTTGGTTGGACCTTTACTGAGTGTGTCTTTCCTTGAAAGCCCCACTGGAACTTCTGGGTCATCGTTCACCATGAAAACCCGCTTTCCCTCACTACTCTGGAGAAGGAATCTGCCTGCTGAGGGGTGTTGTTACCATTGTGAATGAATGCCCAAGGAAGACCCTCCCACCTTGTAATTAAACCAGGGAGTTGATAACTGCTATGTTCCATCCTGTTTCTACTTTGAGAAACAAAGCAAACCCTGCCTCACACGACACAGTCATTTTACGTGGGACTTCTGTCTTTCTTCCTAGATGGAATCAGCGTGAGCGGCTTTCCCATGTCCAGTCCTTTCCGCCAGGTCGTCCGGCCCCGAGTGGAGAGCAGACCCACCAACCCATCTGAGGGCAGCAAGACGGGGGACCTTGGCCACCTCAAGGTTAGTCCATCCTCTTGGAGGCACAGGCTGCCCGGACTCTCCTGGTTTCTGCCAGAGCCCTTTCCAACTCAGCATTTGGAGTACTGTTCCGACGGAGATTGGAGGTGTGAGGTTGAAAACGGTTTCTCATGTTTTTGTGTCTTGTGGAATTTCTGGACAGCAGTCCTGAGGCTGCTCATGTGCCTTGTACTTGGGGTATACAAGCTCTTGTTTTGCTGTGACATAGAGTCTGGGAAGGCAGGTATGCCATTGAGGACCGTGAGCAGAGGAGGTGATTTTCCCTTGTCCCTTTTGTTCGAGAAATGTGTTCATTGCTCAATTCTCAGTTTGGATCTTCACCTCATAGCATTTTTCTTAATCATTTGGCAACTCTTGCAGGTGCTGGTTTGTAAGTCCACAGTTAGTAGAGCTCTCTGTGTGAAGCGGGATGGGCAGGACACAAAGGCCGGCAGGAGTAGAGCTCGGTGTTTGTAAGGAGGGTGTGAATACGAGTCCCAGCCGCCAGTTCAGGCCCTGCCCAGGCGTGAAGTGCACAGTGGGTGCTACAGGGCTCTGAGGTGTGACTGGGGAACAGGGACAGATCCACCGTTTAAGCAAGGATGCTCATGCCACCCTGTTGGCATGCTGTTTACCATCCCCATGCCACAATGTGAGTGCGCCATTGGCTGAAGGGGCCAACAGAGGAGCTCGACCTGACTACTAAAGAAAATGGAGATTAGGAAAGAGGAGTCTGGGTGGCAGCTGCTAGCCCGGGAGCCAATCTTTGGGTTTTGCCTTGCGTGAATTACCTGGTATCTGGTCAGGCTTAGATCGGTTGCTAGCTTCTATTGTCTAGCCCTCCCCCAACTATCACTGGCGGTCAGTAGCTACCTTTTGAATCACATGTTATCTGCAATGCTCCAGTATTATCAAAATGGGACAAGGGCTCTGCCGAGTGCCCTCCGAGAGGGTGCAAGCTCACGGAGCTGGCTGAACTCTACAGACCCAAGTTGGACCTTGCCGGGCGCCACTACAGCTCCCACAGTGTGGCTTGTTGGAAGCATAGCAGGATCAGACAGAGAGAAGGGGCATGGCCATACGAGAGCCAGTGCCCTGGCGCACACCACCACAGCTCTTTCCCCACTCTGTCTTCTGGTACTTAAACAGGCCTCCTTTCCACCTCACACCTGCATGTCGCTTGCTGGAAGGAATGCTGGAGTCTTGACAAAGCCAAAGCTTGCCAGGGACGCTGAGCCTTTGGCCCGTTGCACATTGGTTTTGGAGGGCACCTGCCCTCCTTATAAGCACCCTGTCTCTTGAGACTGCAGCTCGCAGGCATAGCAGCCACAGCTACATCCGTGGCACCTCACAGAGCAGTTGAGGATTGGCCTTCAACTTTAGGAACTTGGGAAAAAGTTGGAAAGTGAAGTCAAAGTAAGCAGAAAGGAAATAATAATAATTAAAAAAAGCAGAGAAGAAATCAATGAACTAAGAAACAAACAGAATCCCTAAAATAGACAAAGTAACCAGCAGGTTGTTCTTAGAGAAAGTCAGTGAAATTTATCGACTTCTAGCCAGATTGATTAAGGAGTAATTATGTAAATTACCAGTATCAGGACCGAGGCAGGGAGCCTCTGCACAGGCTTTGCCGAGATGAGGAGGATAAGGGAGGCACATTAAGAACCGCTTTATGCAGAGGATGAGATAGGTTAGCAGGTAGCTCTGCATCCATCAAGGAAAGAAAGTTCTTGTTAAAACCTTCCCACAGAGAAGCTTCCAAAGGGAGAGATAATAGGACATCTGTGTAAACTACTTCAGGAAAACCACGAAAGGAGGAATACGGCCAGTGGGATGGCTCAGGGCTAAAGATACTTGCCGTGCGTGCCTGACGACCAGGGGGCAATGCCTGGAACCCACATGAAGGTGGAAGGAGAGGACTGACACTTAAAGATTGTCCTCTGACCATCACATGTCTCCTATGGCATGTGCGCTTTCCCAGCTGTCACATACAATAGTGATGATGATATTATAATAATAACAATTAATAATAAGAAAGAAAGAAAGAAAAAAAGCAAAACAAGAAGAAGGAATAAGACAGATTCTGCAGAAAATCACCACACAAAGCAACACATCACCACTGCAGACTGTCCCCCCGACAGCTTTAACAACTCTAAAGCAGGAGTTAAGCTTATGCTGCCTAAAAGAACATACAGCATCAACTGGGCTCATCTGTGGAAGGCAAGGTTAGCTTAACATCAGAAAACTCACAGGTGCAACTCTCCCATGTTGATAAACCAGGAAGGGAAAGTTAAGAAAGCAACTTCATTCATGGACATGTGTAGCACTTAACAAAGTCTGGCATCTAGTGCCAGTGTAGTCTCTGCCATCTTGGAATAGAGAAGAGCTTCTACTGTCTGACCAGCTACTCTGATGCTTCACAGGGCAAGGCTTGACCTAGGCTCTGCAGAATCCCTGTGATGTTCTCTCAGCGCCACACAGAGATGCTGGCTTTAACATGAACAGCTAGATCTTTCTTGAAGCTCTTACATGCTTTTGCACTTTAATAATTATAGTTAAAAATAGGTAGACTGGAAGATTTTACAAAGAATTCAGGTTAAGCAAATAGCATTCTTTCTTTTTTCCTTCCCTTCCCTTTCTTCCTTCCCTTCCTTTCCCTTTCTTTTCTGTCCCCTCACCCCCTTTTCTTTCTCATGTGTGTTCCTGCTCTGCTGCATCTGGAGGAGTCAGAGAAAAACTTGTATAAGGATTAGGGTTAGTGTGTGTGCTTGTAAGAATTAGTGTGCATGTGCCATGGCATGCGTGTGGTCACAGGACAACTTGCAGAGCTCTCTCTTCTCTTCCACAGTGGGTTAAAGGGATTGAACTCAGGTCTGGAGCTTCCACAGCAAGTGTTGGGTCTTAATGTAGGCCTCCTTCTGCCAAGTGGGCAGAGAAGGGGTGTGGTAGAGGTAGGGCAGTACAGTAGGCAGTCCCTGAGCAGGAGGCATCAGAAGAGGAGCTTCTTCAACAAAGGGCACTAGACCAGGCTGCAGTGCAGGGTGAGACTCTGCAGACAACATGGCGACCGGGACATTCAGATGCCCTGGAGGAGATAACCATGTAGACAGTAGTGAAGCTGCCACTGTCACCTGCCTCAATTCCAGGCACTCACTGGGTCCCTTGTGGTGCTCACACTCCACCAAGCTGTGTCATTCTCACCACTGACTTTGGAGGCAGGCAGGCTCTCTTTCCAATGAAAACACGGTGCCCTGGGTGCAATGGCTGACTGACTAGAATCAGTCCAGTAATTATGTAGAAGAGGTAAGATGGCCCCCAGACATCCAGTTCCAGCCTCAGGCTCCAAGTCTTCTAGACTGCTGGCAACTCAGGGAGGTCAAGCATTGAGCCTGCTGAGTCCAGAGAGGAGGGGACCAGAGAGGCTCTGATGCCCACCAGGGGCCTCTCTGTCTTCCAGGGCTACGATTGCTCATCACTCAGCAGAAATTAGGACATATCTCCACAAGGTGAAGGGAATGTCCAAGGCCAGGCAGCCTTTAAGAAGAAGTTAAATCTAGCCCAGGTACTTCTGATTCCAAGGCTTGTGCATAAGTCATTTCTACCACACCACAGTGTCTCAGCCTGCACAATTTCTGTGCTTTTGAACTTATTATGGGATACAGAACATCCTCTATTGATTCAGGCTATATTGATGAAATAGTCATGTCTAAGCCTTTTGGTCTATCTGACCTCACTTTCCACTCTGTGTAAGGCAGATAATAAGCCTTCCTCCCTGCCCTTGTAGGGAGGGAAGTGTCTGCTATTAGTCCTGGTAGATAAGAAAAGCTCACAGAATAGCAAATCCAATTCAGCTCCAAATTATTTCTAATCTGTCCCAGTGATAGTTACAGAGACAGGGAATTTTCTCTGCAAAGTTTAAGCATAAAAGCTTCACAGGAATCCTTTAATCTGCTCAATGATTTCAAAACTTAATAAGAAATTTAGAAGGGAGAACTGGCAAGAGAGCCCGCTGTCTGTGGAATTCTAAAACAAATGCTAAGAGAGGCCAAAGAACCATTCCTCCAGATCTAGGTAGCCCAAAGCTGAGACCTTTTGTGACCACGGCTCTTGTGTGAAGCCTTCTGCAGCATGTATGTTTGTGTGTGGATTCATGTGTAGGTGTGTGTGTGTAGAGGGCATGTGTGTGGAAATCAGAGAATAACCTTGGGTGTTGGTCTTACAGTGTCTTCTACACTGTAGTTTTGTTTTGCATTTGATTATGCATATGTGTGCATGTCTGTTTATAAGCATGCATGCATAAATGTAGGTTCCCTCAACACCAGAGGAATTGGGTCTCCTAGAGCTGGACGAACAAGCACCTGTGAACTGCCTGGTGTGGGTGCTGGGAACTGAACTCAGATCCTCTAGAAGAGCAGGAAGGGGTTTCGCCTGCCAAGCCATCTCTGCAGCCCCATCCCTGCCTTTTGTTTGAGAAAGGGTTTTCCATTAGCCTGGAACGTCACCACGTAGGCCAGTTGGTCCATGTGCTTCCAGGGGCCCTTGTGTCTTCTCTTCCCATCTCTGCATCGCTAGGGTCACGTGTGTGCACCACCAGGACAGGCTTTTTGAAGGGATCTAAACTTGGGTCCTCATGCTTGCCAGGGCAGTGCTGCCCCTATTGATCCATCTCCCTAGCCCTCTGGCAGCTTTTGTCCAATTCCTGTGTTCAGCAGCTGGTGAGCAGTTAACCAGTACATTGTCAGTTCTGGATGCTAATCGCAGAGCCGTGCACAGAGTCTGAGTCACATTCTAGCCGGGGACGAATACTGAAGAAGTAAACACCAGGTTGTGATGCCTGCTGAGGTCAGGCACAGGCGGAGACGGGTGCGACTTCTGTTTCTGGTTTGGAGAGAAGGCCTGCAGGGGTTCACCACAGCCCTGGTGAGAGAGGGACAGGTGTACACAGCTCCTCATACTGCGGGTCACTGACGCAGCGGGTCATTATTTGCTTGCTAACAGAAGCT